CTTCCCAGCACCACTTGAAGATACTATCTTCTCCTTTCACTGTATTTTTCCCATATGTTCCTATGATAGAGTTTGGTTTATGGAGATCAAGTTCATCCATTCCATTTCATTTATTCAAAATAGAAGAATCAACTTTATAAATCAGGCCGGAGTGAGATATTCCCTTGGAAAAGGATGAGATTGAGAAGATCTCAAATACCCAGTTAGATATTTGTATTCTAGCTGGCATATAAATGGTGTTTTTATTTCAAAAATGTGGCCTGGGCTCCCAAATGTAAGTAAAATATATCGTCACTCTGTCTCCTCTCCCCACCCACCACACTTCTATACAAGTACAGTTTAGATGTGATCTTATTTGGAAGTACTTACAGTCTAGTTGTGGCTGGGAGAAGAAACAGATTTTTTTTAAAGAAGAAAATTATAAATTGTGATAAATATAGTCTGGATCCATGACTAGGGCAGCCGATAAGCAAGAGAAAGCATTTGGTGTTTGGTGTGTCATTTCAAGCATGGCAGGGTTTTCAGTGTGAAAATATGAGAAGAATGACATTCCAAGTAACTGAATAAAAATATGCAAAAACATGGAGTTTAGAAGGTAGGAGAAGGATCAAATTACTAGAAGCAGTAAATAAATACATTGGAGTGAATAGTGCTATGGAACAAAAAATATGGGCTGTGACTATATATAACTTTGAATGTTAGGTTGAGAAACTTTAAATTTATTTTTATTTTTAAAAATGTATTTGAATAAGGAAATGTAAATTCCAGGAAGTAATATGACCTATCATGATCTCTATAACTAGTAACATTTATTGAACATAAGCTATGTTGCTTGTAATCAGGCTAGCTCTATAGAGACTACACTTAAGGATCTTGTATAAATGGAGACCGTTGTGTAAAAGAATAACTAATATCACTACAGAGATTCAGCATATGTTCCAAATGTCACTACAGAGATATATGCAGAGGAAATAGACAATTCTGGAAAAGCTAGCATTCTCTTTGAGGGGTTTGAACAAGACTCAAGTGGCAGTTAAATAAAGTGGGATTTAAAGGGTGAAAAGATTTGGCCAAATTTACAAGTGGGAAGATAGTCTTTACAGAAAAAGATAGAGGATGAAGTTCAGCCTAGTTAAAGGTGAGGGGAAGGAGCGTCACAAATGTTGAAATGCCTATGATGCCAGTGGAATGGTGGGTAGAATGGGTGGCAGTTAATAAGCTGCAACTGTAGACAGTTGCCAGGTTGCAAAGGGCATTATGTACAAGGAGGATTCACTTGAGATTTTAGCAGGGCCATGGCAAGTATAGATGAAAGGAACTTGACCAGTGGTATGGAGTCAAGGGTCCACTATTTTATTCAGATAGTGGCTTTAGGGCTGAAGAGGAAGATCGAAGTGAGGAGGCATTCTCATTGAATGGCAGAAGGTTTCTGTGAGCTAGAACCAGGGTGAACCACAATGAAGAGAGAAAAGTAAGTCATTCCCCACTTTTGGGGATTTTAGGATGCAGATAAACTGAGAAGAACTGTTATTAACCTTTGCAACAGAAAAGCTTCATTTCAAATTGTTTACTAATTTCTTTCATGGACTTAGTTTTCCATAACACACTGTCTGAAAGCCACTATCACCTTATGCTTTTCTGTAAGACTTTCACACAAGTTTCTTGTTTTTGTCCCTGCTTAACTTTTGCAGTTTTCTTAAACTCTCCACATAGGAAAATCTTTCCAGTTGCTTTTCTCTCTGTTTCAACTATGTGAACCAGTATCTTTAGCATTTGTTCTGGAAAGTGTTTGCTTTAGAAAGACATGAAAATTTTGGATTTCCTTGTTCTTTCTGAAAAGCACTATCATGGAACTTGATATTTTCCACTAGCTGCTTTTGTTTACATTGTACAAGCAACTTGCAGTTAATTAGTACCCGCCAGGTTAATTCTGCTTTCCCTTGCAGTCTTATCAGTGAGGATTAGGGATGGTTCTGCATTACACAGGCTAAAATAATAAGTTCTCAATTTCTCTCATAAAAGGAAGATCCAGGCAAGTGAATACTGGAGTTCTGACGCTGCTCCACAAAACTCATGGGGATTCAGCTCAGCTGCTGCTGCTCATTTAGGAGTAGCCCTTGCTACGTGGTCTGAGGTGATCCAGGTCCACTGTCATCCTAACAGCAGTAAGGCAAAGGCTTGAAGAGGGAAGCAAAGGAGACCTAGAAGCTGTTTTCAAAGAAAGGTTCTTCAAACATATTAAGAACCATCTGCCTATAAGTCATTGGCCGTACCAAGCCCTTGGAAGCTAACTCTAGCTACAGGACGTGTGGGGAAATGCAGCTAAAGCATCTAATTTGGAAGAAAACAAGAATGGATATGCAAAGACATTGAATTTCAAAGGAAAAAGAGGAGGAAATATGTTGTTTTAGACAGATAAAAACTTTGTGGAGCCAGAAAGTCTTTTCTTCGATGTAGTTTTACCTGAATCACCTCCCTGAATGTGTTTGTCCTCCTAAAATTCATCAGCATTCTGCTGTAGCTTTTCTGTCTGAGGATGGCATGCATCGATGGATTTATCAGTACCTTGAAACAATGTACAGTTTTGAAGTATTATCTGTTAAAGGAGTCAGCAAGTTTTTAAATATAAAGTCAAAAATATTACTGAGGAACTATGTCAGTTTTTCATGTCAATCTTGCGGTAATGTTATTTGCCAATCAGAAATCGTATTTTCTACAAATAACTTGTATAAATTAAGAGAACACATTTCTGCTAATGAAAGCCTTTCAAGAACATGATAATGAGTTTGACTCTGCTGCAAGAGTTATTATGCTTATTTTACAGATAACAAAAATAAGGCAAGTAGGGTAAATGAATGGATTAGCACCAAGTATATCTTTTAGCAACTATGCTATCTTCAAATCTCTCTCATTCTCATAAACCACAGCTTCTCCAGTCCTTGTAGGTAACATTTTACTGCCCATTTCATAAAGTCTAGATCTTTCATATCAGAAGAGACTCTCAGTTATTTATTCTTACTTTATTTCTATTTCTGCCCAATATGAATTAGATATTCTAGTTTCCCAGTCCTTTCCGGCACACTTATTACTTTGCAAAACTACCTAACTTCTTACCCCATTAAAATGTCTTTTTGTTCTTTGTCCACTCAACTTCTGCCCTTTCTTTCAGCCTCAGCTGAGATGCTACATTCTCTGCAAAACACTTCCTAAATACTTCAGGGTGCACAGATCTTCCATTTTCCTGAACTTCTGTAGCATAGAGAATATTTAGAGAGTGCATATATTACATTTAATTATAGAAGTAAGTTATACACTGTATCAGGTTGTCCCATATGTCTTAGTTTATTCTCCCCAATATTCTTAGCTTTTATCCTAGACTCCAAAGTCTTGAATTTCTAAGGCAGTTTTAGTAGCAATAGGACACTGGTAAGAATCTAGGCAGTACAAGAACTAATTCAAATCTAAATTAAGCCAACAATAAACCCATAAGCAACCACTAAGATTTAGTCTGAACTTTCATGATGAATGAGGACATCCATTCAAAGATGCAAAAATCTGAGCCAGTGTCAACAGATAGGAATTGAGTAGGACTACAGTAAACATCTGGTCTAAGGCTTGACAACCTCTACTGTCAACTGAACATTCCCCTGAAATGCAAATAACCTGTGTTTTTGTGTAATGTGTGTCTCTGTATGCCTGTGTAGTTCACTATTCCACATTTAGATAACCCATAAAAATAGACGCATTTCTGTTCAATAGTTGCCCTGGGATTAATTTATTTGTATCTTATATTCAGAATCAAGAGGACCTGAACTGATAAAAATTTTATCTGTAGAAGTCAAGGTAAAATCTCCTACGTTAGGATATTAAAGTGAACTGCAGAGACTTATGCATATAGTCATGAGATTTTTCATTGATATTTATAATATCACCTGCAGAGGTTAACTATATCATTGCTTCCCTGTCATATGTAATGTAAATTTTTTAGGGTAGGGATAATAGGTTTTGCTTATGCTCACTTTGTAATCTTAAATATAACTAGAAGAGTGGCAGCAAAATATACTTCATAGTAGCACATTGCTACAAACATAGATGATATTTAAAAATTTATTTTTGGCCTATGATTTTTGTCTTTGAGTGAGCCTATAGAAAACTTGAATATTTAAAGACTGCAAGAATATTCGCAGTTCATTTTAGGATGCTGAATTAAATTTGTCAAGTAGATTTTTAGTGTTTTTATACATGTATAAAATATATATGTATATATATACATGTATAAAATATATATGTATATATACATGTATAAAATATATATGTATATATATACATGTATAAAATATATATGTATATATATACATATATATTTCCCCTGGATATATTATTTATCAGTCATCTATTCTTCCATTTATGTATCTTTGTTTACATGCAGAAATGGAAATATGGAGAGAAAAATGTGCCCCAACTGTTGCTACTAATGGTCCATGATTTTTACATTCATCTTTTGTGTTTAAGATAATGTTCAGAACCACAGGGCAACACTGACATTGAGAAGTCCTGGCATACATTTTAAATGTCTTATTTTATTATTACTTCAGAATACAAATTTGTTTCCTACTCTTGAGAATTTTTGGTTCTGATCATTTGTTTGTTAGAAAAAAATAATCATCTTATACCACTTGAGTATGTATTTGTTTTGAGAGGAAGCCTAGACTCTCAAATGTACAAGGGGACTGTAGAGACATTCTCACTGAACACTCTATTCTAACTGAGTCGTATAACTTAGCCAGAGTTACCTGGGTAAGGAAGGGCAGCATAGAGACAGGAGAACAAACTGGTTGACCTCATTCTTAGCCCATTTCCATTTTTCTCTGTTTGTCTCTGTCTTTCTCCCTATGAATTTTGGTTAATAGATCTTTAATTCTCAAAAAAATCATTGTAAGAAGAAGGCTAATTTATTCAGGAGGTCACTAATCTTTCCTCTCTCCTCTTTGCTCCTCCAGCTCTCTTCAATCTAATTCCTGTGGGGCTGCGTGTGGTGGCCATTCAAGGGGTGAAAGCCAGCCTCTATGTGGCCATGAATGGTGAAGGTTATCTCTACAGCTCAGTGAGTACCTTTGTGTGTGTGTGTGTGTGTGTGTGTGTAACTTGCACTGAGGTAATGAAGTAGCCATTATTTTAGGGAAACGAGTTGGATATTTAAGTCATTTTTAATCCAATTTTTCAAGATTTTAATGAGGAATTCATAACTTAGAATGTTACAGAGCATGTCCTATCGAATGAGAAAGACCCAATTGCTCTCCATGTGAGGTACGTTCTCTACACTTAGATTCTTCTTCTAGCATGTACCCCATTTTTGAATTTTAACTTTGTTTCATTTGGGGGGGAAGATATATTTTCTTTCCGCTGTTACCCATCCTTCAAGCACAGAAGATGGATCATGGAGGGAGATTCTTTGTGTTTTCCAAAGTTTTCTTTGTTCTATTGTGAGGAAGAATTTTCAGAATGTATTGCGATTTTATTTGTATTTCATCAATCTGTGTAGTATCTAATGTGTCCTATTCTTGAAGTAAATGTTTAATTCAAAGGCAGTGTGAATTTCAAATGAGGGCTGGATTAGGAGCAGAAATATATTCATATCATTTGCATTTTTGTTACTATCTAGATATCCCCTTGGATAAATCACTTTCCCTATTTAGCTTGATTTCTGGTTTTGGTGATCATCTTGCCTAACACCTCTTTCAACTCTAAAATTGACAAAACTGCATAGCTACCTTATGAGCACCGATAGATCTTAAAGTACTTAACACTGTTCTATGCTTACCTCATACTCAAAATAATAATTTATGCCATGAGAGAATGCGGCTGTATTGAATTTTGTATATATACAATTTCTTCCTCATGTAAAAGTTGTCCATCTGTAGTGAATGAAAAACATTCTTTAAAATCTCAGATGCAGATTTCCACCCTTATATTCTATGATCTCAGTACATTGTACAAGATTATTTAGGGAGTTCACATATGTCTACTTGATTGTAAATTAGTTATTGGATAGTTTTAGTAGGCTTTCTCTGCATTTGAAGTAAATGAATCTCTGGTATATTATATTTGCTTATTAGTAATGCATCTGTCATTCTTATTAGAACTGGAGTCAGTGTAGTTTGAGTGCTCTCAATGAAGACATAATAAATGAATGAGATGGTAGATAAGCTAATAGCCCTGATCTAGCCATTATACATTGTACAAATGTGTTATAATGTCACACTATGCTGTACAATTATGCACACTGTGTGTTCTTTAAAATGAAAATATATTTTAAGAAAGAATTAAAGTTACTTTTTTACTTATGAGCACATTCAGATCTAATATCATAAACTGTAAGTCTAATCTAATTTATATACTGTAGTGCATATATACATTTTTCAAGTCAGTGCTCAAAAATACTTAAAGATAAATACATTTTCAGTTAAAATATGAAGCGTTTATTCATCTGTCATGTCACTCTGCTATTAGTTCTGCGTGCCCCGTTGTTCTGAATGCATTCTTAATGAAAAATCAAACTGTGAACAAGAGAGATAACAGGTTGTTTTGAATAATTCTAGTTAGTTAAACTTTACAAAAAGCATTTGAAAGCAATAGCAGTTTATCTTTAAGAATTTAATTAGTCATCAACTAAGGAGCTAAAGGTAGACTGTATTACAGACATGATATTTAAAAGGTCATGAACTATAGCGTTCATATCACTGGACCAGAATTGATCACCAAAAATTCAGGAAAAAGAAAAATACATAAAATCTGACAACTGTATTGTAGGCTGGAGACTGAGTTTGTGAACACACATGTGTGTACACAGTGCATGTGTGTGTATGTGTGGACCCACACGCGAGTGTGTGTGTGTGTGTGTGTGTGTGTGTGTGTAGAATGGTGGGAAAAGGAGGACAATTTCATCCTCTACAACTTTTTCTCTCTTCTTGTTTTAAACTGTGGTTAAGACCACTCATGGTGGTGTGTGCCTGTAGTCCCAGCACCATGGGAGTGACAAGAAGGAGGATCTCAAATTGAAACACATCCTGGGCAACTCAACTGCTTAGAAACTTAATGAGCTTTATCTCAAAAAATTTAAAAATGGCTGGAGATGTAGCTCAATGTGATGGTGCTGTGCTCAGTCCTCAATAGCAAAAAACCCACGTAAACAACAAACAAACAATAAACTCAAAAAGTGGTTTAAGACACAGGGGCCTGCACCCCAAGCATAGAGGGAATTTAAAGAAACTATTGAGAATTTGAGTGCATGAGCTGATTTTTAAGGGAACTAACAGCTTAGTAAAGCTCATAATCACTTATTAAGTTACCCGTTTGGGATATCTAAATTTTCAGTTCTCCTCTCTACTTAGACTTGACTCATACTGAGAATCAAAGTTCTTGCCCCTGCTGTGGTATTGTATAGTACTAGGAAGAATTTTCCTTTAATGATAAGGTGTAGCATCACTGACACTGATCATCTGGGTGTCCGCTTTCAGAACTACCCTCTTTCTGGTTAGGGCTGGTTGCAGGTAAATACTGATTTTCAATTTTAGACAGAGAACATAGGCCTGGAGATTCTGCAAGGGGACTAACAGGGGCCGGTGTTGAGGTGTAAAGGTCTCCTCACACCTTGTGCTACTGCTGCTCCCCTGCTGCAGCAAGCCAGTGGGGCGGGAGTTCTCCAGTGAGTAATTCCTGCCACTAATCATGGTTATCCCAAGGTTTGTTTACATGCATGAAGGCTTGTTGTCCTTTGAATAGCACTTTCCTATTTCCTGTGGAAAATTATAGTGGAGTACACCAAAAGGAGCTAAAATTGTGTGTGTGTGTGTGTGTGTGTGTGTGTAGAATGGTGGGAAAAGAAGGACGATTTCATCCTCTACAACTTTCAACTCTACAACTGAAATTGCCTGGACAAACTAAAGAGGTCCTAAAAAGTTGATTGAGAGTCCAAGAGACGTATGCAACTGAGCATTTGTCTGGTATCATTTAATTACTTTGCATTCTTATTTTAGCCTACACTTCATTCCCTTGTTACTTCTGATGTCCTCTTCTTCATTGAGATACATGAGAAGCATAAACATGGACAAGTAAGGAACATAAAGCAAGAATTAAAGATCCATTCTGAAAAATCAGTGTTTCAATAGGCCAGTTTAACTCATATGTATTGGATGAAACTGTTGATGTGTTTGGATTCCTTTTTTCTCATTGAACCTTCTGGTTTTTTAATCTACTTTTTATTTTATTATTTCTGTTACATTATTGAAGTTTCTATTCATTGTGAATTCTCCTACTAGTTCACAAACTGAAGCCACATTTCTAATCTTTCAGTGGTTGTGCATATATTTTATGTCCATACATAATTGCATAGTTTGAGAAATGTATTTTTATGTTTCTCTCTTCCTTCCAAATAGCTTATAGGCTTTAGGATGTTTTCTTAGATAGTTATAAGTACTGTTACTCTTTTTCAAATGCTATTAGTTGTACTTTGAAATAGTTGTTTCAGCTATTGCACCACTTTTTATAATAAATTCTGTGGATATACCTTGTCCATGTGTATGGGTGTGCATATGTGCATGAATATCTCCAGTTTGGTCTGAGTTTACTTTCTAGTCTACATCTTTCATTATTTTATGGGTGAGAATTTGTTCATTCACTTCATGTGAATGGATGTTTTACTTTGATACTTGAGCTTCAGGTTTATTTTATTTTATTTTTTTTTTTGTATCGAGAATCAAACTAAGGACCTTGCACTTGGCAGGCAGGTGCTGTACTGCTGAGTTATGTCCCCAACATGAACTTCAGTTTTGATTCCTAGTAGAACATTATTTTACTTGAATTCAGAAAATAATATCCCATTGGCTTCTGGCATCTCTTCTTGATGGTGGGTAGTTTGGTGCTCGTTTCATATTCCTTCCTGGATAGGTAATTGCTACAGAAACTTAAAAAAAATGTTTTCTCTTTATACATAATGTTCTGCAAACTCAGTCTGCAATATGGAATGTACTTATAATCCAAACAATTGTATTTCTCCAATTGTGGAAAATTTTAACTCATCTCTCATATACGTTTTCTTTCTTTCTCTCGCTTTCCAGTCTCTGGTGCTGGCAATACTTATACAATTTGAGTTAGAAACTTCCAAATTCATCTAGTCTAGAATATATACCATCTGTTTTGTGACTTTAGTCACAGTGTTTCTTGTTTTTGGATGTTGGGTGGTTTCTGTTTAATACCTTCCTGTTCTTGACTTATTGTTTTGTGTTTTTATTTTCTGGCTCCCCCACTTTCTATAGAAAGTTATTAATTCATCTATCTCTCTGAGCTCTCTTAACATACACCATCAGACTTTGAATTCGTATTTTAATTACTGATTGTTTTTGTTGCAGTACTAGGAGTGGAGCCCATAGCCTTCCTTGTTCTAGGCAAGCATTCTACCACTCAACTACACTGCTACCCCTTGATCACTGATTTTATTTCCTGCCATTTTAGAATTTGATCTGGTTTAGGCCAGAATTTAGAATTTTTTCTTCAAGTAGCTAGGATTTTGGTCTCCGAGTACATTTGCGTCTCATTGTCCGTTTTGCTTCTTCCTCCAAGGGTTGCTCTGATTTCTAGCATCATTTTTCTGGCTTCCCACAAGCCTCCAGTCGTCCTAGTTCAGAACAAGATTTTAAAAGAGTCATTTCAAGGCTCCTGTCCAAGTGTAATACTGGTGTGAAGTCAAGGGCTGGGTTTTGGAATGATTTCGTCCATTATTCTCATAATGGTCTATGGCTGCATCTTGCAGGCCTGTTGCAGCAGTGCTTAGTTCAACTTTTTTGGAGTTGCAGCAGGACAAATCTATGCCAGCCTCTGACCCAGCAGCTCGCCTGACTTGGCCTGCTTGGTTGCACAGAAGGATTTTATTTCCATCCATTGTCTGGAGTAAATCTTGGGTCACAGAACTTTCTCAGGGCCTAAAGCACTGCATGTAAGCAGCTGCAACCTACTTGCCGCCTTCTCTTTCTTTCCCAGAGGGGCGCTTTGCTGGGTCCCACCTGGCAATGATATTTAGGCCTCATCATTTTGTATCTGTTAGGACAT